TGTTTCTTTCTTTCTTTATTTCTTTCTTTCTTTCTTTCTTTCTTTCTTTCACCTGATCACCGTAGTCTTCCTCCTCTTTTCAAATATGCTTTTCTTTCTTTCTTTCTTTCTTTCTTTCTTTCTTTCTTTCTTTCTTTCTTTCTACTTTGTGTTTTGTTTCTTTCTTTCTTTCTTTCTTTCTACTTTGTGTTTTGTTTCTTTCTTTCTTTCTTTCTTTCTTTCTTTCTTTCTTTACCGCTCTTATATCCTTTTTCTTTTGCTTTTCTTCCTTCCTACATTTTTGTTTCTCGGTCTCTTTCCTTTTTACCCTTTCTTCTGCATCTCTCATCTCTTCTTTTTTCATCCTCTCCATACTCACACATTTTCGATCTCTCTAAACTCACTTTGTTCTCCACCCACTCCATATATTACCGTCGCAACTGACGATCTCTAAATCTAGGTGTTCTAACCATCCCTCTTATAATTTCATTTCTTTGCTTTGCATGTTTTATACAATACTCCCTTCAAATTCTTTTTTTTTTTTATCGCGAGCATACACGCATGCGCACACTTTCTTTCTGTTTTTTTCTTTCGCTTTCTCGGTATATTCTCACCTTTCTATTTTTTTTCAACAGTTTTCTATTTATGGGAAATATAAAAAAAAAAAAAATGAAAAAAAATTGTAGTAGAAACCAGAAGGGGTCTATGAATTAAATTCTCAAGGATCTAAATTACTATAAGCATAGCATATCTGAAAATATTTCATAATCTTCAGGTGTCAATAATCTAGCATAAATAATGTCAGGTGATCAAACACTAGTTAATGCACAACAAATTCAGATAAAAAGAATGCCATTGAAATATTTAACGATTTTACTAACCGTTTACAACTTGACATCATGTCGCCATTGTTATAGCTTAGTTTGTACATATTTTAGAATTTAGGAGAGAATTCATTTGGCGTTTCAAAAGAAACATTCTTCAAAGCCTTGCTTACAGGCAGCCATTTTGTCCTACTGTTCATAATCCACAAGGAATCCATTTGTTGGTTGTATCATTAAGATCACGCTTTGACCTTTCCTTCAAATATAACATTGTTATATTTGCCTTTTACGTTTTTCTAATTACATTTATTGTAGGACAACATCTTTTGCCATCCGCGAAATGACACTTATATTTTCTTCCCATAGCCATTGTTTTTTTTTTGCAGGTTTTATAATATAGTCTTTATTTATTTATTTCTAACGAATGACTTTCAATGTCTTTTTTCTTTCTGTTTTTTCAATTGTTCTTCGTTTCTTTCATTTTCTTTCTTTGTTTCTTTGTTTCTTTCTTTCTTTGTTTCTTTCTTTTTTTTTCTGCAGCACGTCATTTTTCTTTCTTTCTTTCTCTCTTTCTTTCTTTCCTTTTTCTTTCTAATGAATGACTTTCAACATCTTCCTTTTCTCTTCCTGTTTTTTTTTTAGTTTTTCCTTGTTTGTTTCTTTCTTAATTCATTTATTGCACTTCTTCCATTCTTTCTTTCTTGTCTGTCTCTAGTCAATGGATTTTCTCCACTTTTCCATTTCTTTCTTTTTTTTTTCGTAACACATATGACTTTCTCGTTTTTGATGACAGCTATCACATATTTGCCCATCTTGCATTTTTCTATTTCTCACTTTCTTCTTCCTTTTCTTTCTATTGAATGCCTATATTTCTTTCTTTCTTTCTTTCATTCTTTCTTTCTTTCATTCTTTCTTTCTTTCTTTCATTCTTTCTCTCCTTCTTATGTTGTTTTTTTTTATCTTTTAATGTTTCTGTTTTTCTTTCGACTGAACACATTTCCTTTCTGTGCTTAACTTTTTTTCTTTCTCCTATTCTTCTAATGGCTGCCTTCTACTTTCTTTTTTTTCTTTCTTTCCCTCTTTCTTTATTTTCTTTCTTTCCTTCTTTCTTTCTCCATTTTCTGGTTTATTTTTTCTTCGTTTTTCTACTGCAAGTCTTTCTCTTCTTCGATTTTTTTTGTATTTTTCTTTCTTTCTTTCTTTCTTTCTTTCTTTCTTTCTTTCTTTCTTTCTTTCTCGTATTCTCATTTGATGCTTTTTTGCTTTTCGCTCTCAATTTCATTCATTTGATTTTTTCTTTCTTCTTTCCTTTAAAACTTTCTTTACCCTTCTTCCTTTCAGTGTTTACCCCCATATTTTTTTCTCCAGCGTTTTTTTTCTCATTCTTTATTTTCTTATCACTTTTTCTTTTTCTTTTCTCCTTCTTTCTCATTCCTAACCTCCTCTTTATGTCTGGATCTTCTTCTTCTTCTTCTTCTTCTTCTTCTTCTTCTTCTTCTCCTCCTCCTCCTCCTTCTTCTTCTTCTTCTTCTTCTTCTTCTTCTTCTTCTTCTTCTTCTTCTTCTTCTTCTTCACTGTTCTATTTTTTGATAGCTCTTCTTTCACAACTCCTCATCTCATCTCTCTACACTTTTTTCTCCGCACCTCATTATCCCTGCCAACATCATTCGTCGTCTTATCACCTTCCTCAGCCATAACCTCCTTTTCAACTACCCCAAAACCAAAATCTAGCAAAAAAAAAAAAAAACGACCCTGAAGCGTATCAAATGATCGATAAGCTGAAAGACGAAACGAATCGATAGACCTGATTAATCCATTGATTTGTACCAGTAATCTACAAAGAAATTAAAAAAAGAAAAAAAAAAACACAAACACACACACACATGAGTTGCGCGCTGACTCAGCAATATTTGCGGATTTATCAGCCTACTGCATGTTCATCTTGGCCTCTTTTATAGTTGTCGATTCTTTCTCGCGTTTTTCGAACTCTAATCAGCGTCCTCCATGTTATGTAATGACGTCGTTGGCGGCTATGGTTGCAGCCGTGACGTTGCCAGCGTTCCACAATCCGCCTTTTCCTAAACGCGAGCGTCTATTGATTAAGGATCTGATTCGCCCGTATTTTAAGACATGCTTATATGATTACATCCTTGATAGTGCAGGTGGGCTATACAGAAACACATACACACACACACAAACACACACACACAAATATATATATATATATATATATATATATATATATATATATATATATATAAGTGTAAATGACTTTATTTCACTTTAAAATGATTTAGACACAACCCTACATCCCTATTCAAAACGTGCTTACGCCTCAAAATCAAAAGAATATCTAATTTCCGCTCATGTAAAAAAGTAAAAAAATAAAATAATAATCAAATAAACTCAAATAAGTTTGCTTCAGAAAATGACACTTTTAAGGAAACTAAATCTCATTAGAATATATATATATATATATATATATATATATATATATATATATATATATATATATATATATATAAAAATTATATTAAGAAACAGACAACTTTAAGGGTTCATGGTGATTATAATTTATTTCCTTGGAATCGAAATTCGATTCTAATTCATCTGATCAACATTTTCATGCAAATAAATGTTGTCTGTTTCTTTCTTAATATAATTAATATTTTCTCTGCTTTTACATTGAGCTCTCTGGATTATATCCTCCCTGGAATTATTCATACAGATTACCAGACACATCTTTACATATATATATATATATATATATATATATATATATATATATATATATATATATATATATATAAAACATTAATGAATAAAAGAAACATTACAGTCCACTCAATAGTAAAAAAATAAATCCAAATTCTTCCCCAACAAATACGACAATTCGAATGAATTAAATATATTTTTCGAAAAACCATGGAACCTCAAACTACAAGAAAATTCCAAATCATTTAATAACCTCACATAAAGACAATGACTATCCTTAGAAAACATCCGGAGAACTAACAATATAATTATAAATGAAGTAGACATAGGCAGTGCTATAAACATCATGGACAAGGCTTATATTGTAAAGCAAAACCTCTAAAGGGATATAATGGAATATGGATACACCTGTGTTCCCCCTCACTGGAGTGTGATTGGCTGGTGTCCGTCATAAATACAGACAAACGTATAGGAGAGTCAATTGGTCTACACTTCTTACCTACGCCATTGGTCTACACTTCTTACCTACGACTACGACGCGTACCAGTCGATTACTGCTACCGTATTCTACTTGGTTATAGTAGCCAAAACCACTTAGCTACTTCGTTCAAATATATCCCTTTCCGAGACTGTAATTTCCCTTGTCCACAAATATTTTTCCACCAGTGTTTGATTTTCGGAGCATAGCTATCCCTCACTGGAATATGATTGGCTGGTGTCCGTCATAAATACCGACGGACATGTAGGAGAGTCAAAGAGCCTTAATCTGAGAGCTAAGCCTATAACGACACCCACTGGACTACGCCCACTTAGCTACTTCGTTCAAATATATCCCTTTCCGGGACATATAAAGATACTAGGGAATAAGGAAAACTAAAATTAATCGATAAAAGACAAAAATATTATTGACAAAAATATTATATCAAAAATTGCAAAACCCTGCACAGCACATAATAAAATATATAAAAAAAGAGAGGGACTTCCTAATAAACTTCATCCCCAAAACGAGGTATTTTTACGAACTACTGAAAATTCAGAAATCGTTTAATATAAATGCAGCCCTCCGGACACAAAATTTGAATGTACTAACTCCCCAAGCCCTAATGACCTTACATCTGAACCCATAGTAACAGGACCAGCCTGTCTAACTAGCAGACTCAATAACCCAATAGGTACCATACTACAACCATTTACTAAATAGATTAAGCTCTACATCAGAGATAATATCCACTTCTATAGCTCCATACCAGTAGATCCAGAAACAGTCATAGCGACATTTGGCATTAGCAGCTTATATAGCAACATATCTTATGGATTAGGTAAACAGGCAATTTCATTCTGGTGTGGGAAACACCCAGAAATACTCCATCCAAACTTCATCAAGGAATTGCTAGTATAGATATAATCCTGAATCTTTTGAATTTGATAACAAATACTATATCGAAACCGTAGGTACCACGATGGAAACGAAAATGGCGCCTACATATGCAACCCTAACATTAGCTTAACTAAAGAAAAAACCTTTATGAAAAAAACAGAGCAAAAATATGGAGAAAATATCAAAACACACTTTACAAAATCTTGGAAGAGATGCTTAAATGATTGCTTCATCTTCTGGAAGTCCTTGTGAGGCAATATTAACAAATTACACAATTTACAACAAAACATACAGCAGAAGATTAAATCCATCCAAGAACATAAATTTAACGAGCTGCCATTCGTAGATATTGTCATCAGAAATAAAAATAATCATGTTATTATCAAAGATATCTACCGCAAACCTCCAGACACCCAACAATATCGTCATTTTTAGAGTCATCACCCAAAAAAGCTGTCTAAAATCCACCCCCTGTTCCCTGGCACGTAGGATTTACACTATAGTGGTTGACAAACACCACCTGTAAGAATTACGTAAAACTCACAAAAAAACGAGTTTGCCCCACACCACTAATAAACAAAGGTTTTGAACTTGCAGATAAAAAGAATAAAAACGACACCCCAAAGAAAACGCAACAACGAACAAATTTTACCATAAGTCTTAACCTCCAAGAACATTCCAGAACTAATTAAAGGAATTATGAAGAAACCTAGAATTACTTATCAATAATGATAAAATAAGAGCTATACTAAAAGTAACCAAGATAATTAAAAACAAAAAAAAAAAAAATAAAAAAAAACTAAAAAACATATTAACCACGTCAACACACAATACAAGGGGTCACAAAATGCAACAAGAAAAGATGTGATTAAATTATAGCGGAAAACTTCTATACTTTTGAAAACCCCACATCAATATTCACAATAAAGAGAAAAAAAAACCCACTTAAACTCTAACTCCAAAAATATAATTTATGCATTCAGTTGCACAAAATGCAGCAAATATTATATATGTATGACTCAAGCACTAAACACAAGAGTCTCCCTGCACAAAAGAAACATTAAATTGCCAGACAACAGAAAACATTTTGAGTAACAACATATCCACAATTGCAACAAGGGTAACATTAAAATTATACCAATATATCTAACGGACGATTAATCTTAAGGACTACACACACACACGGATCCTACACATAGACACACGCGTCATATAAACTATATATATATATATATATATATATATATATATATATATATATATATATATATGTGTGTGTGTGTGTGTGTGTGTGTGTGTGTGTCCTAGGTAGAAATGAAAAGAGGTTACTATAAACTGACTGATATATGGACAGACAGACAGTATATAGATAGATAGATAGATAGATAGATAGATAGATAGATAGATGAGATAGATATAGGAATGGGCTGAGATAAACAATATAAACAGAATGATAAATAAATCGATTGATCGACAGGGAATGTTTAATATATATATATATATATATATATATATATATATATATATATGTAGATAAATAAACATACTGAGATAGATAGATAGATAGATAGATAGATAGATAGATAGATAGATAGATGTGAACAGATGGAGAACAGATAGATAGATAGATAGATAGATAGATAGATAGATAGATAGATATGAACAGGTTGAGGGAGATACATGGATAGGGAGAGAGAGATATATATTTTGCTATCTGCCTATTCAGAAAAGGTCAAAAAAGTGGTAGAAAACAGTGATAAGTAATATTGATATGCATGAAATGGGAACGTGTTGCGAGGTGGGGGGGGAAACATGTACGAGAGAAAAAAAGGAGGCAAAACATGCATTCGCAACTGAAGAAGACATTAGGTAAGAAAAGGGTTAAAGGTAAAAACGAAATAAACAGAAAGCAATAAAAGGAAAGGCCCTCACAATAGAATGGAGCGGATCGTTCGTCTAAAGGCACATTACTTGAACCAATCCCCAAATGAAAGAACCTAAAAAAAATAAATGAAAGAAGAAATAGCGAAAAGAAGATATCTAAATAAAGAAGAAATAAAAAAAATAATAAAAAATCCTGTACCAGATGCAAATAGTCTGTGCTGCAGAAGATGACGAACAGCTTGAACTATCTCCGTTGGATCAAGGACATTTTGCATCGGAAATGGAAGAAGAAAAGTCGGCTACTGGGTTGATGTGCCCTGATCAGGAATGTGAACGAGAAATGAAGGCAGTCAATACCTGTGACTTTTTTTTCTGTTCGTTTTCATTTATTATTGGCTATTACTTATTTATGTTTAATTATTATATTGAATAATGTCGTCTCTGTCTTCCTGTTGATCGTTCGACTTCAACTAATTTAATGATCATCCAAGAGGGGGGAAAAGACAGGAAATAAAACGTGTACAGGAAGCTAAGCGAGAGTAGATATGCACAATTTATTTGATTATACGGCAAATTTAAAAAGAGGTCGCTAGGCTATTAGAATTTGCTGATTTTAGCTAATAGTATTTTGAAAAAAAGATTTGATTCGAACATTGATCTTATATTGAACAATAATGATAATAATGACACTAATAATAACCGAGTGATAGATAAATCGAT